ATGGGAATGGGACGAGGATAGAGTTTGCTCGCCTGTTCTGGGGCAGACAGAAGTGTTTCAACCAAAACTTCTCCAAAGATAATGATCTGGAGCAGTTGTGTGGGACTGTATTTCCAAACTTTTACTTGGATGTTCTCGGGCAACGACTGAACTTCACAGATGAAAGGTTTCTCACGTGTTTCCCAACAGGATTCTCTGTTGTTACGTCCGGAACGTATCTCTGCTTTGAAAGCTTCAGGCAGGTGTTCTTTTTCCTGTGTAAATGTGACTTGGCTTAATTCATAATATGGCAAGCTAGAGAGAATATTATTTGCAGTTATTGTGAGATCCAATGTCTGCATAAACTCTGTTTCTGTGTAGCTCACAGCACGGATTAAGATTCTGTGGCAAACAGCCGGGTTTGCTCAATCAAAGTAAATGTAGTCTTCGTGAAAGTTTTATTGAACGTTTCTTTATTATTAAAGTATTGTGATTGGATCGGACTTTTATCTATGAGATTTTACTAACTAAAATTTTGTTTCGAAGAATTTGCTGCTTAGTAGCAAACACAAATCAGCCACTGAAGTACCGAATATCGGAGCAGCTCGATTGAAGGCGGGTTCTCCAGGCGGAAAACCCCGGAACTGGATTCGAATCGTCTGGATAGAAAGAGGTCTCGCGCCCCCCATGGATCCTTTCACGCGCCCCCAGGGGGCTCCCGCTTTGAATAATCATCACAGTTTAGGAGTTTGAGCCATTCGTTGTGTTTAAAGCACGTTGCTGACCCGGCGGGGTAAAGAAACTGCATCTCTTTAGTCTTGAACAAATGACAATACTATCAGACTTGATACAAAGCCAACTCAAAGGACGATTAAAAGGGAAAGAAGGGTCCGAGGACCCAAGTGGAGGTTTATAAGGGGCAAAGGGGCACTACTATACAGGAAGAGTGGTGGGGTTCTGGCTCAAAATTCTCAGCCACCTTATTAAAGCAGATTCGCCTTTATTCGCCTTCTGCCCAATTTTCCCTCTAAGCCGTTATGACCAGGTTATGAAATCAGCGCACATAGGAAACTGAACCGCGCACAAAAAATAAATTCCCCTCCAAAATGTGATAATAATCAAACAAACACGGTCGTCAATTGAAAAATGCTAAATTGACCACATGAGACTGGCAGCGAGAGGCCCAGCGTGGCTGTGAGCGTTATTATTGCTGCTCGATCATCGATATCTCTGCTCTCGTAGTCTCGTACCTCCCTGCTCCTGCTCGCTCACACTATGACTGGGCTCGTTGAATCGCTGTCCCGGTCTTTTGGATCTCTATGCTCCTGCGAGAATGACTGTATTAACAAAAAATAATTTCAGGTTCACAATTTTACATAACACTCAATTTAGTGCGCACAAGCTTTTGTTATTAAACATTCGGGGGAACTTTGCTTCTGTCATTTGTAACTTTTCCGTGTTCTGTTTCTGTTGGACTCCCTGTGGCGTCACCGCTTCTCACAGCCTTCGTTAGATACTCTGTCTCTGCTGGGACGACGGCTCTCTGACAGGCCAGGAGTGAGGAACAGACACGCCGTGAGCCGCTGTGTCGCTGTTCCTTATGCGGTGTCTTGAAGTTTCGTGGCGGTGCCAGCCCTGTCCACTGGCACAGCCGCTCACAGCAGATCCCAGGACAGGGGTGGGCGCATTTCCCTTTTCCCGTTGAAGAATAAGTCAATTAGGGGTTTGTGGTTTGGGCAGAGGAATGTCTTGCTCCCCCCCTCCTCTTTGCGTTTTCGTTGTTTTAAACACAATCCCCTCATTCCACACGGGGCCAGAGCGCCCGCCGGCAGACCAGAGGCTCTGGCCCGGAGAGGAAGGTGCTGCTGCTGGGCTGCGGCGCCGATGTTGTGTCACGGACGTGTCAACTTGAACACAGGTGTGTCTGCACATGGCGGCCGGCCGGCAGCGCTCGTCCGACACCTCTCCCTGAGCAGTGGGCGGCTCCGCGGTTCTCAAGTTCATCGTCAAGGGAGACTTTCTTCGCTGTTGGAGAACCTTGGCAACGAGCTGCAAAGCCGACACTCCCCCCTCTCTCCCTTTTAATGGTACAGCCTCACGTGATTCGGGACACGTGCTTGGACAAGCACGTGCGAACCCCAGCTCTGGGAGAGTGGGTCTCCTGTACATCTAAATAAAATGCCCTCCCGATCTGTTTTTTATACTGGGTCTAAGATGCACACAACTCCTCCCTGATCTCATTCGATGTCCTGGAGAGTCCTGTATGTGGTGATTTAGCTCTCACTGCAGCAGCAGGAAGTCAAATACAGACCATAAATCACTTCTAGGAATGACTCATCTTCAGAAGCCTCTGGATCTCATTGTTAGGTGGAGACAGATATAGCCAAGGACTAAAGGGCCATAGACCCTCTCATCCAGCTCCAGCCCCTCCCGAGACCTGAGTGTGCTGCACAGCTGTGGCTGGAAACTGACACAACGAGCGACCTGGTCAACCTATTAACTTGTGTCCTACCATCTCGAGAGAGTGGGCCTGCATATAGAGGCAGGTTCAGACTCCTAGACACTCCTGTAAGACACCAGCAGAGTAACAGCTACACACACATGCACGCATACACTGCAGACACACACATGCACGCATACACTGCACAGACACACTGCACACACACACATGCATGAATACACTGCACAGACACACTGCACACACATACTGCACACACACATGGACGCATACACTGCACAGACACACTGGTCACACACATGATGCACACAATACATGCACTGCTCACACAGGCGCACACATTCCACACTAACACTGCACACAGTGCACATACACACTCACTTGCTTCCAGGGGATTTTGACACTGGCCTTCGGAAGCAAGCAGTGAACAGTAATCTGTTTCTTCATACAGACACAAAGGCTTTGGGTGAGAAGGGATTATTAATTGAGTCTAATTGCAAATTTGTCTATGAAGCAAAGGAGTATACAAAGTGGTATATTTCTACACCAGTCAATCTTCATTCGCTGTCCACTAGAAGTAGACTGTGCGTGTGGGACGAGACTCTGCCAGTGCCTCCCGCTATGCTGATTTTACCACGGTATGAGGCAGCACAACAGTGCAAAAGCACATTAGTGCAGGCAGCAGTGGGAACTCCCAGCAGACACTGAAGAACTCGCCACTGTTAAAGTTTATGTACCAAATTAAAAAGATAAACAACCGGGATGAATACAGCACATTTCACATATTCAATCCTAATTACACAGAAGAGTGACTTCTCATTCTGGGAAAGGCCTGTGAGGGGGAAGGAGACACTTCCTAAGGAAAACCTGGAACACGCCTCAGGACCCACCTGGATACACATCCACTCTATTTGCTTTCATGCCTGAGAGACCAAGAAACAAGAATGTGGAAGAAAAACAGGAAAGAAGGAGAAAGCCTTCAGAAAATAACACAATAGCCTGAAATCAAGAGAGAAAAAAGAAAAAGCAGTTTTAAAAGCTTTTCAGAGACACAGAGAGAAGTGCTCGCTAGCAGCGATGCTTTTACTCCCCTTGCTCAGACATCTTCAAAAAAACCCTTCCCCTGAGGGACAAGAACCGCGTCAGACCCTGGGACTGCTTCCAGAGAGAGGGGCTCTGACCCAGCCCTGTGTGTGAGCTGATCTGAGGCCGGGGTTCTCTGTGAATGAAAGAGGATTGAGTGTCTTTTCCCTTTCTGACTAAAGGGACAGGCTTGGCTTGGCCCAGGCCAGCAGGTCTCTCCCGCCACCAG